GCAGCTCCCCCTTCATGGGACTCGCCAAATCCCTCAGGGCGTTTCGCGTTTGGTGATGTGAGACCCTGGTCCGGTGAGAACCCAGCGTGCTCCGTCCCGGTTTTGTAGGGATGGGAGGTCAATGGTCAAAGGATTAGGGCATGCAGGATTATGAGTCCCCCCCCCCCCCCCCTCCAATTACCCTAGAAAATAATATGGTGTAGTCGGTTGTTTGTGTCTGCATCTGTGTTTGTTTGTGTTTCGTTTTGTCCAGTGGAGTGGCCTCAGAATCACCCACACGCGTGTACCTTAGATGTACGTGTGTGCAGGGGAGACGGGCTTGGCCGGCGTAACCCCGTGGCGGATATCCCCCGGCCTAGTAGGGGCCGAAGGATACGTCAGGAGACTCTTATTCATGTCCGTTACTCGTGATCTTTGGTTTTTATTTTTTGTTTAGCGTTTGGTGTACTTGGCATCGCGTGCCGAGACTAGCGACGTGCTCTCTTTCTTGTTGTCTGGTTGGGGTCTCCTTGTTTCGCTGGTTTTCTCCTATTTATTGTGTTTTGTGTTAAACTCTTCCTTGTTTTGCTGATTTTCTCCTATTTATTGTGTTTTGTGTTAACTCTTTCTGTCGTTCTTCGGGTTCGTTGGATGGTCTCCCGGACTGGCTGTCTTTTTTGATCTGCTATCGTGCCTGTTTGGATATTTTCTTGACTCCTATCAATACTTCGGAGTTACATTTAATATCGAGATGTAGTTTGTGTGTATCCTTTGCGGGGAGTAGTTGACCTGTGACCACGGGAGGCGCCCGAGTCAGTTGGATCGGTACGGATACTATAAGGTACTGAGAAGAGAGACCGGGACGAGTTGTGTGTGAAAGAAGCAACAACAACAAATAGTGGTAGTCGTGCTGGGTGATGACACCCGTGTTGGGTGATCATACTTCGCCGTACCAGGTTTGGTTAACCGTGTTCTTCGTTGTTGGGTGGGGCGCGGGCGGAGAGATTTGGTCTGGAGAAGTTTCTGAAGGCGTTTCCTGTGTTCGCCTGTAGGTCCCTTTTCGCCGTCACGTCGCCTCCAAGGGAGGGTCGTCCCTGGTCAACGTCTTCCCACCATTGTGATAACAGACGCACGAGCCTACTGCAGGTACTTTGATCAATTTATTAAAAGAGCTGTCTCACCTGCCAATCGAAATAGTACAGTTGGCGCCCGCCACATAGGAACCTCTAGTTTTGGGTGAGGCTGGGGCTCTTGGCTCCTAGGGTCGTGCTACGAATGGCCGTTAAAGTAGGCTTTTGTGGTAGGAGTTCAAAACCGAGCCCCCAAACGGTGCTCAAGTTCTTAGCTTTCGAGAAAATATTGAGGCTCTATCACTGTCGTAACTGCCAAAAGTTCTTAGGGAAGTGCGGGCGGTAACTTTAGTCCTATTTTGGTACGTGCACCATGCCATCGATACTGATCTGAAGGGGCTCCGGGGCTCGGGGGATACGTGGGGAGGTGGCACGGACGACGTGGCTGCTCCTGTCTACGTTGCTACATAGTCTGCTACTCTCATGGTCGTGGGGCCAACCTTGTTCTCGGCGCCTCTGACAAGAGGCTGTCCAAACATGATCGTGTAGCAACGGGGGACAAGCGTCAACCAAAAGACCATAGGTCTAACGAAACGACGGACGTTAGAAACGAGGCCAGACGAAAAATCAGTCGTCAGAACGATAAGAAAACCGAATGAAGAAACCCTAAATCATGGTTAGAACAACGACGTTCGAAATGGCAGTTCACCGATCGTCGTACCGACCGCAGAAAGCGGTGGTAGCTCTGGACGATTTCCTACCACGAAGTTCTACCTCCTTGGAAGCAGGCAGGAAAGACCCAACCATGCAAACGGAGATATCGGGCAAAAGCCAGGTTGTTTGAAACGAAAACGGCCCGCCGAAACTTCAATACAGGTCCGATTCTCAAACGAAAACAACACGAAAACAGAATCACAAACAAGTCAGCGCGCAAAACGAATAATCCGTAAACGCGCCACGGGACGTTGTGATATTTTGCGAAGAATGCCCTAGAGAATATGGTATCCCCACAAGCTTGAAGACACCATGATCCACCGACGTAACCCCAACACTAAGAAGAGGATGGTATCCCCACAAACGTGAAGGCACCATGATCCACAGACGTAATTTCCGATGGTAAATTAGAAGAGAACAACGAAGGTCGGAGAGGGCGATCGTGATCGAACCAGCGTCGTGGAGGAAGCGGACGATGCTGCAGCAGTGATCGGATTGAAGAGTCGGTCCAGGTATGTATCTGCCCAGCAGCCACAGTCCACCTTGAGCCTTGATGTGCCAGTAGAATGCGCCGACAGGTAGGGAGGGACGTAGGGGCGAAGCGGCGATCCCGTGTGGAACGGGAGACATGAGAGTAGCCCGAAGGCAACTATGTCGCACCATCGCTCGTGCCACAACTCTTGTGCGCAACTAGCTGGCGACAAGGTCGATTTTGTCCGGTATTGGTCGGGCGTACCAGTCCGGAGATGTGATCTGGAGGAAGATAAATGAACACCTTTTTCAATCGTGTCTTGTGGTGGTGTAGAACAGCGATGACACCACCATGACCACCAACGGGCTGATGGCCAGCAATTCGTTTAATCTCAAGGCAGTCGACCGCAGCCTACAACGTCGCCTTCGGCACCAACATGGTACGGAGGAGATTCGGTCCTCGGTTTTTGATAACCGCATGTTGGGTGAGACCGGCAGGAAGAAACCTCGGCACGTCATTGGTGTCATGCGGGCTTACGCTATAGATATGCAGCGAGTCCCCTAAGCATGGACTTTCGAGTGTATGCCCCGGCACTTCCGTCCCGACGGGAGGTCCAAGAATACCAACTGAGCCGTAAAGAGCTGCAATCAAGAGCTCTTGAACAGAGGCCGGCAGCCAAAACGTAAACGGACCGGTGCAAAGCAAAGGCAACTTTGCTCTGAGGACCTTGTCGTCAGTAGTGAGTGATCGAACACCTTGGAATGGTGAATTCGGACATGAAAATAAACATCCCATTTCCACCAAACACCCAATTTCCGACGGTGCGGTGCCAAATCGCAACTTTTTTCGCAAGAAAACACCCGAAAGGGCTGAAACCCGACGCCCATTCTGCGAAACGAACGACTAGTGTTGCTCACGTGCTATCTCATGAGCACGGCAAGTTCGCACTACGCAACATGGTCACGACCCAAGCTTTGATGACCTCGAGCAAAAGGATGCTTGATGGCAGTCATCGACAGTCTGGGGAGAGGCGGTTACAGATTTAGAAGCACTTCACTAATAGGTGCTAGCTAACCCAGCGACGGCACAAACAGAATTGTTACACGCAACCTCCCACATGAGAGAGATGACCGTCCCAATCGTCCTGCCTCTCGTTGATTGTCATAGTATGATTGACTCACTGTACACCCCCCCTTGTGGTTCGGGTGATGCGAGCTACGTCGTAGTTGGTACCAACACAATCCGCCGCCGCCTGTGTGCCACAGCAAACAGCGAGAGCAGCTCGTCGCGGTTAAGTCGTGCGGTCTTAATAGCCCCATGTCAACATCTGCGTTGGCGCTTGCGAAGACGGAATGTCTAGCCCCCGTCCCTTCCACATCTTCGTCACACACGCAAAACAGGAGGTAATCGCTCTCCTCCATTTCAACAAAGTTATCAACAGCGCATGTCATTGTGTCTTTGTCGCGCCCAATTCTCGCCCCGAGTCGGTGTGCCCCACGTCCAGAGCAGCGCGCACGCTCGGCCAACTCACCGCCCCCGCCTACTCAAGAACAACCAAAACCTTCCGAATGAGCAACAATGCTCAGCTTCTCTGGCTTCTCTGGCTTGCTCACACGACCTCTGGGGAGAGCTCATCGTACATACCGAACGAAACAAATCCAGTGGGGGGCGCTCAATAATGCCTGTTGAACAGCACCAGCGGTCTGTATGGTGCCGGTGAAATTGGCTGGGTACTACTGGGTACAGACTGAACAAAGTCATTATGTACTTGACTCGCACCGGTCAATTCGCCGGGCACATAGATACGATATTGAAGCCCCCCACCATGGTGGTAGTGCAACAAATTGCGCAATCTTGGGTTCGTGGGGGGGGCGAGTTGGATATACCCCCTTCCCCCCGAACCCTGTCCACATCATTCATCCCGTAGTGTCTGCCACACATAACCGTACCGCTTGCCGAAGCGCAACGCACGGTCTTGGTGTTCAGTTTGCCACAGGAGGTGTCGATCCGAACAGGCATCCCCGCGACGATGGTAGACGTGACATCAATTCTTGTTCGGTGAGTTCCTTCCCCATCACGCCGCACCACTTTCTTGGTACTCTCCACCTGGGGGAAAAGGAAAAAAAAAAAATGGAGCACGAGTTTGCAAAGCACCAGAAGCGCAGAACGGACGGGTTTCAATAGAGCTCGAGATTGACAAGATACATGAACACTTCCAAGTAAGACGTGCACGTGATTCAACCCCCGGGGTTTCAGGAGTGTCAGGCATTTCGTTTTGCTCCCGTCGACCACGCGTTTCCAACTGTAGAGCAGTCGCAGTCACCCAAACAACATAAATCATTCCGCTTGTTGACAGCAGTGCCCTCCACCCCTCAGCAGTGCTGGTATGCGCCCTCCAGTCAACAAAACACTTCAACTCACCGTCCAGCTCCGAAGTCCAGTCGAAAGCCTTCCACTTCTCAAGGAACGCCATCACCAGCTTCCTCTCCTCTTCCACCGCTGCGCCGCCGCTGCCCCCCCCCCACCTACCGGCCCCCCGGCCCCTCCCTCTGCCGCCGAAGCTAGGGGGGTCGATCCCCAGGATGCCAGCCAGAGTGTCAACGCCGAAGTCGCGGGGGAAGTTGGCTTCCTGTGACGTCAAGCGCAAGGTGTTGTAGAGAGGATGAAGGCGTTGCGAGAGGACTGAGGGCAAAGACCGTGTGAACGAAGCACCCAGGAGAGCGCCTTGTGCGTCGCCCTCATATCGGCACTTCCTTCGAAACCCAACTCGCCCGCTCCCACCAGGTGGGCGTTTGGTTTGGGACCGCCTTCGCGGGAAACTAAGAACTATAAGGAAATAGAACAGGGAGGGGGGACGCAGACCGTATTCCCTAACCCTGCACGTAACCCTATCCCTACTTCCCCTGTATTAGATAAAACTACACCATTAGACCAGTCAACAATCGGGGTAATATTTAGATACAATTACACCATTTGACCAGTCAGCCTTAGACCAGCCGGAGTAATTTTATCTAATAAAGGCTGACTGGTCTAATGGTGTAATGTTATCTAATATCCCGATCGTAGCTTTATCCAACATGTTTGCTGAACACAGGAAACCTGTGAAGGCTGCTGTTGGTTTGAGGCATGGGGGGGTTCTTGCAGACGCTGCTCGCGCACGCACGGAGCACTCCGGGTTGTTCGTAGTTCGTCCCCTATTCGCAACAAAAATGAGACGGGGCTCAAGCGTGCGTGCTATGGCTGCACACGCCAAGACCATGAGCGCAAGACGCAGTTTGTCACCCGGAGCCCCCGCCTCACCTCCCCCTCGATGATGTTCGCGTAACCCCCGTCCTCCCACTCCACATGGAAGAACGGAAACCCCTTGGGGACCGCCCGCCGTATCCCCCCCCTGAGAAAATAAATAAATAAGAGAGCGGGCATAAGGGGTGTGTGCGTGCGTGCGTGCGTGTTGACAAATGTTTTTTAAGCGTTTTGCTGAAAATGTTGCCAGCAAGCGCCTGCTGCCGGAAATCCTACAAAAGATGCGGCGGTCGTCAAAAGGTTGATCGAATCTGCCTGCGGACCATCGAAATTTGAAAGACGAGGGGGGGGGGGGGTTAGGGCACCGACAATACGATATTGCCGAAAAATCTGTGATAATCAAGGGAGAAGACTGCTCTTGCAATCTTCTCGCAGGAATCGAGGCACTGCCAAAACGCAAGGCCCAAGGAGGCTGGCTCCCTAGGTGCCAGCACGCAAACAAGGGGACAACAGTAGTATTTCTTGAGTCTAGCCAAGTTGTCAGAGGAAGCGCTTTAGGCAGAGGCTACCACACGCGCGTTGAGTCACAATCTGCGTCACCCCGTACTTGAGGAGAGCACACGGGCTTCAAGCTCCCATCTTCTCCCCAATCCGGAGACTGCACTACAGAACGCGTCCGCACTAAAGAACCCAGGAGCAAAAAAAATGAGCCTCACAAAAATCAAAAGTTCAGAACTTGAGCACCATTTGTGAGCTCGGTTAATTAGAAAAACCTATATAGCGAACATTCCTATTTTTAGCATGACCCTAGGAATACAGTAAGAACCCCAGCCTCGGCCGAAACTATAATAGTATACTAGTAGAGGTTCTTAAGGTGGGGGCGCGTTCTGTACAGTAAGCGCACGTCGGAAGCCTATCGACAAGAATCAACCTCTGACTGAAATTATTTCCGTTGTAGCTTGACGGTCATTTTTGCATCTGCGCGCCACCTAAATAGCCATGTGCGCTCGCCCCGCCTGCACGCCGTACTGCTCATTCCTCTCCCCAAGCGTGGATTATTGATAACGGTGGTTTCCGAAGAATGTTTACGCCGAGCGTGAAGCGGGCGGGCAAGGGTATGAACACAGAGCGCCGCTTCGAAGGATGGAGCTCGCTTCCGACTTGCCGGAAATCCAACAATGACCAAGCATGGAAACACGCCGTCTAATTTCTTGCTGGTCTCACCTGCGAGGGTCGGAGGGAATACACTTCTTGTGCGTTGACCACTCGTCCCCGGCGTCCATGAGTGCCTGCTCAGATCAAACAAACACGTCAAAGGAGTAGACAACACATGAACAAAAAAAAAAATATATATATATATATATATACATATATAACGATGGACATAAGGTTTCCTGCTCAGATCAAACAATCACGTCAAAGGAGTAGACAGCACATGAACAACAAAGATTGTACATAAGTTTGCCTGCCCAGATCAAACAAACATATCACAGGGTACGACAAAACATGAACTTAGATCAAACAAACACATAACAGGAGTAGACAAAACAAACAAATAAAAAAAAATCGAGACTGTCCCTTCGTGGGTAGGTAGCCTGTGGCCGTAGAAGATGTCCGAGTCAGGTGGACCAGTACGGCTTTTGGAAGGTATTGAGTGGAGATTGGAGCAATTCTTCATGTTGTGGACAACAATCATGCACAGACGGAGGGGTGGACTTGTGACCGGCTTTGCGGTAGAGATGCTACTACCCGATCAATCGCACCGGGAGAGGCACAACTGTTGCAATGAAACAAGAAAACAAGAAAACACGGCAAGTCCTACAATGTCATTACCTACAGTCTTCAACCATCCCTGCTTTCGCGTTCAAGTAGCAGCACAAACCGCGTGGTTTTCGCACACTCCATGTCCAATCAGATGAAAGAGGGACACTTACAAAGCGCACAGTCCTGCCCCCCCGGCAACCAAAGTCCGAACGATCCCAGGTTCATGCAAGAGACACAAGAGTTATCGCTGCACAACCCCCAGCATTAAGTTCACCCAAGACCTTGAGAACGACTAGCTCTCTCTAGGAGCGGCGCGATCACAACAGCAATCGATTGACAACGCCCACAAGCCGCACACTAAGATGTGCTGGAAAGAACCAACTACAGAGGGGCGTTTGGCAAGACTCTTTCGCTACAAAACCCTCACAACTGGTACGCGAAACACGCGGTCGGTCAGTCGACAGCAGTCACCTGTCGGAAGTACATGGGGGCGTCCAACGAGGCGTTTCTCGGTACGGGGACGGCTTCGATGAAGGCGTGTCTTGCCGCTGAGGAGCCCGGCTTCCCCCCCGTCTCCAGGAAAATAACGCCGCCACCACCGCCGCCGCCGCCGCCGCCGCCGCTGTCACCCTCGTCACTATCGCTGTCGTGATGTCCGCCCTTCGACGACGATTTCTTCTTCTTCTTGCTCTTCTTCTTGGCCTTCTTGCTGCTGCTGCTGCTGCTGCCGTGCTTCTTCTTTCTGTCCCCGCTGCCGCTCTCGCCCTCGCCCTCGTTGGCACCGTCGGCGTCGTCGTCGTCCGCTGCTGCCATCTTCCGCAGCGACGACTTGAAGAGCTCGATCTCTCTCCATACCTCTTCGTCGCACGCCTATAATGGGCCCCCCACCATGAGGGAAAAAGAAGCATGTTCGCGGGGCTGAGGGGCTGGGGCTTGGGAATCTTAATTTCGGTGCGATAAACAGGGTCTAGGAATCATAATTTCCGTGCGATTGACAACGTCACAAGACACCAACTGCAATCGCGAGATATCCCGGTTACATAGCCATCCGTAATGACGACACGCAAGTGCTAGTATTATTGTGCCTTTTATTGGCCATTCTTCCAACCGTGGACCCACGAAGAAGGACACCGCACCGTTGACAGAATTTACAAAAAGGAGACGTGGTCCAATACTTCACGACTCTTATACTGCTTCACGGCGATGAATCTCCTCAAGGAAACGCGGTCAACAGTTTCAGCGCTCTTCTTCACTCTCATCCCATACGTTACAGAGGGGGTACAGCAGACGAACGAACGGGTCATAGACCTCAGAGTGAATCTATACCCAAGGCACGGAATCGTGGCGAACACTATGCGGGGTGCTCGCAGACCAGGCGGGCACGGCACTAAACCACCGAGCGGTGTTTGGTGACGGAAAAGAGATGCATCCCGATAAGCCCTTGCGAGGCCACGTTCCCATAGCTCCCTCCGCCCTTACCGTTGATGCCGGTGTGTGGCGTATCGGCACGATGTAGCAGTGCCCTTCAGAGAGGCGGTGGGTGCCCGTGGCCAGGTAGAGGTACGTGTGCTCTCCCAGCGACAGCACCAGCCGCTTCTTGAACGACGATGAGTCCATGCACAGAGGACACCTGAGAAATAAAAAAACGATGCAGCATGTTCAGGGGTTTGCGCATGATGGAGGAAGACGTGGAAGGGATCGAAGATAGGCGCTACTGCTGCTGGTAGTCCTTACCCCGTTCTGCTTCGATTTTTTTCGCTCATGTTCTCCTTTTCATACGTGAGCATTCGCTTCAAAAGAGCAAATGTGCGCCCCAGTTACGGTGGCTATGTCCCTGCTAATGATCCTTTCACGAGTACAAATGTCACTTTGTGCGAAGACGACTGACCCATCCGAACACCGGGATCGGAACAAAACAGACGGAAAAAAGAGAGGGAGGGGTTCGAACGGGAACAAAAAATCTCGCACCACTGGTGACAAAAAACCCCAAGAAGAGAGACGCTCGTATACCCAGGAAGACACAAAAGTAGCACGAACAGACACAGCGGAGTGTTTTCGCAGACCCACGACCGCCCTCTTCCCCCCCTCGTGCCCACCGACAGAACAACACATGTACGGCCAGAAAGGACAACGGGAAGGCATCTAAAAATCAACACCAACAGCTGCGGCAACAAAACAAAGCAAAGAAACAGGCGACACAAACGTGGCCCCCGCAACAGCGCTTGAGCTTCCTTTCCCACCGGCGGGGGATGCCGCAGTCAATCGTATAGGGCGTGAGTGGAGCTACGTGCGGTTGGAACGCTTTCCACAATGTCCTTTCAAGAGAAGGGCTGGTTTTATCGTTCGCAGGTCGACGAGGGAAAGGGATGGCTGAACCCTTTTCCCGATAAAACTAAGGCAAGCACCGCAGGGGGAAAGGTGGGGCAATAAAAACAAAACAAAAAATAAAAAAAAGCTCCTGTGTGACCTTCCTCTTAGGTTACCCCAGCTGTTACGTCAGGTATTGTAAATACGCCGAAAGGCCTGTAAACCGGCGCCAGAATTGATGGGACGAACACACACAAACACCCGTGATACGGTATTCCGGAAGGTGTACATGGTGGTGGCGTGGGGACAACTACAGAAGGGATGAGAGTACACACCATCTGCTGTAGCGGGTAATGACGACTACTGCGCTGCTGCTCAGTTTGCTCTCCTCGCCACGGGTGACTCGAGGACGGCTTTTGCTTTGCTGCGTGATGACTACTACAACAGCAGCAGCAACAACAACAACAACAACAAACGACAACAACAACAACAACAACAACAACAACAACAGCCACACCACCAACAACGAACACGACATACCACACTTTACCTGGACGTGACAGCCGACTGTCGGCGGTGCTCAGCAACAGCCTTAGCCTTCTGACGCTCCGCCGCCGCGACGGCCGTCATGCGGTCTTCCGGCCTCTGGAACATGCGCATATCTACCTGAAATGTGACAACAAGAGACGGACAGGAAGGCGGAAGCAACAGGCAACAAGCAAACAGAGAGAGAGAGAGAGCAGACAGGCAGACGTGCTCGACTCATGAGTCATCCAGCAGCACCAACAACGGCCGCTGCAACAGCGGCAGCGACATCAACTACAACAGCCACAAGAGCAAGCCCACAATCCAAACCAGCAACAGCAACAGCAACAGCGACGACAGCAACCACACTACACAACAGCATCAGCACCAGCAGCAACGAAACAAAAACAACAGCAGAGCATCAACCACAACCGCGACAGCAAAACCCACATTACAAATCAGCAACACAGCACCAGCACCAGCGAAAACGACAACCACACCACATAACAGCAGCAGCAGTAGCAGCGGTAGCAGCGGTAGCAGCAATAGCAGCAGCAGCAGCAGCAGCAGCAGCAGCAGCAGCAGCAGCAGCAGCAGCAGCAGCAGCAGCAGCAGCAATACAATCGCAACAGCAACAGCAGCAGCCGCAACATCAACAACAACAACAACAACAACAACAACAACAGCAAACCCACATTACAAATCCGCAACACAGTACCAGCGGCAACAACAACAACAGCAACCAGCAAGGCTCTCTTTCTCACATCTTCTTCCTCGTCCTCCCCAGCGAGACCCGTGTGCGCCCCTCCAAGCTCGGTACCCTTGAACCTACTCCCAAGGCGGGACACATTGCGAACGAAGGTTTCGTCCATGTCTTCGAATCCCTGCGTGGTTGAATAGGGCGGGACGGGGACGGGCGAGGTGAACATGCATTTACGAGGGGGGGGGATTGAAACGTCAGACTGCAATATACGCGAACTTGTTACGTACTGGTTGTTGTTGTTGTTGTTGTTGTTGTTGTTGTTGTTGTCTTCACATTAAAACCGTTCCGATCTCTCTCTACCCAGTACCTTCGTATGTCCGTACTGATCCAACACTCGACGCGGTCGATTCCCGTGGTCACAGGTTAACTTACCCTAAAAAGGTACACTCAAATAAACTGGCCCGAGGGGTCCGCAAGTCAATAGAAGTCAACGACAGATATTCTGGAATCCTCCACTCTCTCTTCGCGCTACTGGTACAACCATGCGTTCCATTTTCGGGGTCCTTTGTTTGATGGAGCCCATGTCTCGCCATGCGGCATACGGATACTCCCACAAAAAGGGGGGGGGGGGGGGGCAGAAAAAGAAGAAAGCACCAGCGCTTACCAACTCGCAAGCAGGTTTTTGACAAAAATCGCAACAATTCCACCAACGATATCCAGCCGTTTCTCTCGCACTCACTTTAAAGACTCCAACACATTCTTTTCCACGATGGTTACATCTCGAACGGGTATGTGCTCTTTTCTGCGATTGTACGTGTAAATGTTCTACGAGGTAGAAATCATGGAAAACAGCTAGTAGCGTCACTTTTTGTATTGTAAACGTTGCTGCTACTGCTGCATCTTTCATGGATGTGGACAGTGCGGTGCGCTATTACATCCCCTTTGTAGAGCACCGAGCGAGTTGGATGGATGTTGTCGAAGAAAAATACTGATGGGCACACAACATGGCACGCGCTGTTTGTTGTTCTCCCACCTCTTCTCGCTCCCGGCGCACGAAGTCCGCCACGCTCTCGTCCTTGTGTTCGGCCCACCTGCCCCCGGCCTTCTTTAGCTTGCCCTTTCGCGCTCTGCTCGCGACCGATGGATGAACGCACATCGCCCCGGCACAGAGGCGGCGCAACAACCATCAAGAAGCAGCGAATCGGCGGGAGAGATGTCGCCGCCGTGTACACGCATGTGGAAAAAAGCACGAGGCCGGGAGGGGAGTGGGAGGGGCCGGGGGGGGGTAAAGGATCCAATACGGCACTGCGTAGGGGAAACACGGGTCAGCGGGGATGGATAACGCAGTATGTCTACTTCAAAGCGATGTGTTCTTAACTACATACCAACGAGGATGGACAATACAGTACGTCTACTTCGAAGCCATGTGTTCCGAACTACACGGAAGGGCGGATGCCCCCCCGCCCGCCTCCCCCGTCTCTCTTGGCGAGCGTTGATGCTCGAGTGCCATTGGTGCTCGAGTGTTACTCCGGTTCATGGGGATGATGCGCCGCGTCTCTCGGATCGGGCCGCACACCAAACCGAGACACAACAACAACACCAGGCTTCTCCCAACCCCCCTAAAACCATTGCCGCTTCCTGTCTCTACCTAAGTGCATGATCGGCGTTGGTGCGGTCGGTCAAGCGTTCGACCACACACGACCACCGTATCTGTACTACAAACACCCTGGTGACCGTAGAGAAGGAAAGCAGGAGTGTCTGGCCAGTCAGTCACCGGAGAAGAACATAAATAAATCAATAATCGTATAGCTTCGAAGTATGTAACTGGACATTCGCCTACCCGGTCCTGAGGTCCTCCCTCATGAGAGCGGCGCCACCGGTCCGGATAGGCCTCCCGTTCTCGTCGAATGACCTAACAACCTCCAACTCCTCCTCCTCCTCCTCGTCCTCCTCGTCTCCTTCACTCCCCTCCTCCTTCTTTTTATTCCCCCCTTTCCGAACGGTTGTACTAGGAGTGCCTCCGACAGTCCCGCCTGCGGCGGCGTTGTCGTTGTCTTGTCCAGGTTTCCAGGGGGCTGCTGCTGCTGCCGCCGCCGCCGCCGCCGCCGCCGCCGCGTTCGCCTCTCTTCCGGCACGAGCCTTGGGTTAGGGGAAGGGTTGAGCAGCACACACACAATCGCGGCAATAAGAGGGAAAGGGGGTTCCAAGCACGAATAAAAAATCCGAGAGACACAGCCGTGCGTGAAAGAAGGAAGCCCCCCCCCGATAGAACAAAATCAAAAACACGAAACTGCCCAGCAATACACACAAACAGTTGCGTGGATCGGTCCTTTCCTTCATCCTTTACTCGGGAGAAACGAAACAAAAGGGAGACGGAAATCAACGAGTAGCGGACGTTCAACATCCATCCCCAAAACGAAACTCCTCCGTCAGACAAAAACATTACAAAAATGGAGACACACGGCAACGAGGAGCGACGTTCAACATCCAACCCCCAAAATTCGCCTCCGACGGGCGAAACAAATGGAGACAAGATGTCGACGCAGCTACCTTCGTCGCTCAACGTCTAGACGCACCTCCTCCGTCAGGCGCGCGTGGGAGGCCTTGTCCCCCTTAAGCTTGGCCTTCATCGCCGCGACGGCTAGCTTCGTCAGCTCCGCCTCGGTCAGCAGCTTCTTCGCGGTTGGGGTAGCCTTGGCCTTACCCTCCTCCACCACCCCGGCCGTCTTTCCAAGCACGGTCGCCTTACTCCTATCGCCGGGGGGGGTTCTCGTCGAAGGCACAGCTGTCTCCGTAACCGCAACAGCAGCAGCGGCGGCGGTCTTGCGAACCACGCCCGCCGGCCGGCCGCCTACGCCGCCGTCGCCGACTCGGGGGCGCGCGTCCTTGCTGCTGCTGCTGGCGCCGGCTTCCTCCCTGCTCCCCCCGCGTCCTTCGCCGCTGCTCGAGAGGCCGTCGTCTTTGCCCACGGCAGTGGTCCTGCTGCCAACCTGACCATCAGTTTCGCGGGACGTTCCGGCTTCTCGAACCGAGGTCCGTTCTCCACGGCTACTAATACCGCCGCCGGGCCGTCTGTCTCTCGAGTCGTCGCGCCTCGCTCTCCCGCCGATCGCCCCGGCGCCATCGGCCCTTCGATTCCCGCCGGCATCAACCGAGCTATACCCTCCTCCTCCTTCTCCTCCTCGGCCGCTTCTGTCGCCACGATGCCTCGAGTCGTCTCTCCCTCCCGCCAAGCGGCTGCCACCCCCGTCCGCCGCCGTCTCCCGCCGGTCCCCGTCGAGGGCACGCTCGCCCTTGTTCCAGTCGCGCGCCTGACGCTCGCGCCAACTCCGGCCGCCGCCGCCGCCGCCACCGCCGTCCGCTGCTTCTTCACCCCGCGTTCGGCCTCTGCTGCTAGCGTCGTCTTTTTCCTCGCGGTGGTTGTCGTAGTCTTCCCGCCTGCTGGTGCCCCTGCCACCGCCCGACCTGACACGATCAGCAGCAGCAGCAGCAGCAGCAGCAGCAGCAGCAGCAGCAGCAGCAGCAGCATCTTCACGTCTGCCGCCTCCGCCTTCTTGGCGTTGCCGCTCTCTACCGCTCACCGCTCTCTCCGCCTCACCGTTGCGACGGTCCTCACCCCTCCCCCCCCCCTCCCCACCGCCGCGGGGCCCCCTTTCGCGATCCCTGCTGTCGTCACCGCGGGGCGCCCTTTCCTGATCCCTGCTTTCGTCACCACGGGGCCCCCTCCCCCCCTCCCCACCGCCGCGGGGCCCCCTTTCCCGATCCTTGCTGTCGTCACGACGCACCCCCCGGTGTCTGCGGGTCTCGTCGTTCTTGCCCAGAGCGTCTTCCAGCTTGCTCGAGAACCGCTTGAGGACGTCGGTGTCGTTTGCGTCACGGCCGATCCTCAGACGCCCGCCGCGCCCGCCCCTGCTGCCGTCCCTTCCGACCTTCGGAGAAGCCCAATGGTTGAGGGGGACGGTTGCGGTATTCCATCTTGGTATTTGTCGTTCGACCAATCACCACGCAGCATTTCTGATGGGATGGTGAAGCAACCGTCCTAACACCTCTTCCTAGAAACTAAACTTCAGAATCCCGTGTTCTTGGGCGATACTAATTTGCGGGCGTCAGGCGGCTCATGGGCTGAACCGATGCTATTTGACACGCACAGGTCTTGTTGACGAGTATAATTGGCGGGGCGTCAGGCGACTCATCGGCTGAACCGATGTGATTCGACACACACCGGTCCCCCCCCCGAGCGGGCAGCTTCTCGACACGAGCACACGCACGCATGGGATCCCAGATAATGGGCCATCAGAAACACTCACTGTTTTCAGTTTCCAGCCGCACTGAGACTGGCGCGCGTCTTTTCATTGATCAGCCGGGTAGCACGGTCGATGCTAAGAACAAAAAGACACACATACGCATATCCATGCAGACACATATCGCTCAGCCTCACCCATGACGCCTCAGGTCATGGCCTTTAGAAGCGTTTTCTGTTTTCCTGCCGCACTGAGACTCGCGTCTTTTCATTGGTCAGCCAGCCGGTTAGCGCGGTCGATGCTTATTAATAAATACACACACACACACACACATCTACGGAGATACCCTCTCACCTTGCCGAGAAGACCCCCGGTGTCGTCCGCGGATATCCTTCCCTCTCCCGCCGCCAGGGAAGCGAGTTCGTCCCGGCCCTGCTGATACCCGTAGCGACCCCCTCGCCCACGCCTACCACCTGCGGATGCCCCCCTGGAGTCCCGCTTGAGCTGGTCCAGGGACCCCCACCTTCGTTACGAGGATGTGGGTAGGGCGGGCGGGGGGGGGGGGGGGGGGGGAAGCC